TTCCGTATTGCGGTATGCACCTCCACTGTTCCACCCTTTCTCTTCGTGGAAATGGGAAATAAGTACTGAAAACTGTAAATTTTAGACATACTAGTTGGCAATAAAAGAGAGTTATTTGTTTTCAATTTGATACAATTGAATATTGAAGGAATAAAAGAGTAAGAATTCTTCACGATTTTAGCTACGATCTACATTCTTGTTTATTCTTGTTTCTTAAACAAGAATTTGAAACGACTTTGTTACTTTTAGAAAACATTGTGTATATTATCATACGAGCATTGTTAGTATTGTTTGTCAATTGGATCTATTGCAGTCCAATCATTCATTCTGTAATTCATACATCGTTTATGCATATGTGAGTGATCAAAGATTAAAGATTACTTATCTAATGCGTCGCTTGTGTATGCACATGTGGGTGTTCAAAGACACAACTAGTTTATGACTTGGATCGGTCGTAACTCTCCCTAACATTTGGTTGATATTTTCCTCTGTAAAGTTTGCTTTAATTCTTAATTTCTTTTAACATAATATGCAGTTGCATTAAGGTATAGAAGATTGGGCAAAACCAATTAATGAGCCAGCCACAATAATTTAGTACTTTACTTATTATTTATAAAAATTGAACTTAAAATTTTTATTTATAAATTAATAAAACTGTCAGTAAAAATAAACCAAAATACCGAGCGTACGAAATTTTCAATCACAAAATTGCGTGATGGTGATATTGTAGCACTTCAAAAATTTAACCGTCTTCTAGTCCAGCCCAACCCGTATTAAAAACCTTATTCCGTCACTGCAAGGTGATTGTGACACTGACATTTTCCTTACAGTGTTTTTACCAAGTTACATGTACTAATAGATTTCTCTTAGAAATGATAATAATTTGGGTTCATTTCCAATAAGAGTTAGGTCCTTTATTTAATACTAAAAGCAGTACAATAGTTTAGTGAAGTCCAGCATGCAGCCTGCAACCCTAATTCAGATTTGGGGAATATATCTTTGTTATGGGATAATGAGAGGGCAGAGAGAAAAGGGCACGACCAGCAGGGCCAGCAAATCAAAAGCCTTTGATGCAGTGATTGCAGTGAGGGCAGACAACAAAACTGAGCTAGTGGTGGGTATGAATGGATTGCACAAGTGCGAGCTCTTTTTGGTGTAAAAGAGTTATATAAAAACTCAAGCTGATGTTACCATTTGACTCTCAAGAGATGAGAAGTTTTATTTTCTCTCACAAACACAGCGGTGTGAAATGTGAAATGTGAATGGAATCCCCAGAGACAGAGAGAGAGAGGTGAGGCGGTTGGTTAGGGTTTTGGTGGGTGAATGTGATTCGTCAAAAGTCATCTGTTTTGTGATTTTATCTTGAAGACACCTGCACCTGTTGCTAAGCGAGGGGATTGGTGGAAGCTGGCTGCTTGTTTTTTATTTTATCAGGAAAAAGAAAACTCATCAAGTAATCAAAAGCCCACATGCATCCATCCATTCAACTTTGATGTTATCCACAGAACACCGCAGAAAAAGAAGAGGTCTGTTTCTCTCTCTCTCTCCCACTTTCTTACGTTCTTGTATATTATGCATTTATTATTATTATTCCGAATATTTATGCCATTCATGTCCCTTTACACTTGTAAATCATCTTATGTTGTTCTTCCAAGTTACCATCTGATATAGTTTGCTGATCTATCTGTATCATGGGTATCTTTTTTACTAAAACAAATATTGTTAATCCTTCTCATGTTTGTGAATTAATCATCTGCTGAAGTATTTGCTCCAAGATTATATTTAGTTTGTATGGCTATATTTATATTTTGTTAAAAGTTATAGGGAATTACTTATTCGAAATTTTCTATTTTGTTTAGAAAAATGGTAAACTAGCACAATTTTTGGTGTTGGAATGGTTATTTTTTCAGTGACATGAGTGCTTGCGTAGCTTATTTTAGATTTATTTTTATGGCAAGACTTGATATGTTCCAATCATGAAAACACTTTGTGTGGAGATCAGTTTTATCCTCCGGCATAATTTGTACTTGGGATGACTCTAAATTAGGTGGATAATTCTAGTTTTGCTGGGATTTCTTTGATGAAATAGTTTTGCTAGCTAGTCAGAAGCTTGTCAAAGCTGTTTGATCAACTGAACCATTTGTACTACTCAAAAACTGCTTTTCCAATTAATATAAGAGGGAGCCCTTCGATTAGTGATGGTATACATTAGAATTTTAGTGGCTGTGTACGATAACTAAGTTGAGTTCATTGAAGGAAAAAAATTTAGCTGATTTTTAAACATTATGCAGTTTTTCAATTGGTTTTCACTCTTAATGTAGATGAAAAAGGACAAGGATTGTCTGCCCTCCACTTTCGATGCCTTTCTTGTGTCATTCTGTTTGTGTGGTTACGGTTAAGTCACGCCAACATTTTATATTACTATTCATTTTTGTCTTATTATATCTATAAAAAAAATAATATAAAATGTTGGCATGACTTAACTGTGATCATACAAAACTGGAGAGCACGAAGAGGACACCGGAAGTGAAGGGTGTCCGATGAAAAAATGCTGCCACACCCATCTGTTTACATTGTTGCTCTTCATGCATATAGTCTAGCTAGCAGACATTTCTGACATGGTGAAATAATTCAAGGGACTGTTTGAACAGTGTTGAGGCCCAAAAATGTACCTAAAAGTCCTCCAACATACAGATATGAGAAAGTCTTCCCTCTCTTTATGGATTGATTTAACAGATATAATTCAGTCTATAGCGTAGTGTTTAAAGCAGAGATTGTCAGTGTAAGGATTTTGTAAAGATCTAAGATTGTTGATTTGTTAAATTACCTTTGTTGAGAATAACTTTCATGCGCCTGAGATATGATATCTCAAGCCAATTCTGAAATATTAATGTAATCATGACATCTTAGATGTAAGTAAATTTCTTTCCTACTTCGTTTTCATTGTCATTAATTAGAAGTGATTTTAGTACACTTTATACATATCCTTCTTAATTTTCGTCCTTAATTCTCTTTTATTTTGTTTAATACAATAAGTAAAGAAAAAAATGTGCAATATTAATTATTTTCCCCGCTGTAATGGCTTCTGGTAAAGTCTTAAATGAGACAAAGAAGCCATGCCTCTGTCACCATCAATTAGAGTAAAGAATGACAATGAAAAAGTTGATTAGAAAGTGCAGTAACAAAGTGAAATAAAAGAAATAATTTGAGAGAAGGTTGAGAGAGGGAGGTATGGAGCCTTTCTGTCTTGAACATGCTGTGGCATGGCTTTTGCAAAAGCCAAAAGGTGCAAGTTCTTTGTTTCATCAACGGATTCAAATCAAGTTGAACAACTTGTTTAAAACAGAAAATTTGGATGGTTTCCTTTCTCCACCAAAAACCAGAAATTTTGTAATAGGAAGGTTACACCAGTAATGGAGATTCTTCTGTCAGTCCTTGTGTAGGCTTAATTCTGCTGACGATTTTAGAGCACGGTCCCGTTTTACTTGCAGACAAGATACAAGAACACCATTGAATTGTTTTATGCCTGAAATGTCCTCAATGTCTTGAGTTAATTACTAGCAAATTGCATTACCAATGATCATCAAAGAAACAGGGTGCGTTTGGACGAGGGACTTTGAAATTCTATGAAACTTAGGTTAAATTTGTTAGGAATGCATTATAAAAATTATAAGTAGATTCCAAAAATGACTATCTGGGAAGTGTCATTCAGAAAGTCATTAGTTTATTTTGTTTACAATGAATTTTTAGTTGATTTAGTAGTACTTTTGTAGTGTTTGAGTAGTTCTTTCAAATTCTTTTTGTAGTGCATTTTTACCATTTGAGATTAAAGTTTCTTAAAACTTTAAATCTCTTATCCAAAATAGCATAAACGAAACGTATTGATGTCAATTGAATTTGTGTTCTCTTTTCTCTCTCTTTTTTTTTTCTTCATTTTTCTTATTTCCTGCTATGGATTATTTATTTGCACACGTTATACAACAATTGTTAGGGAGGTGTCTCTGGGCTGTGGCTTGCATATATATTGTGTGAATTTATGTCCTGGTGTTGCATGCATGCCAGCTCCATCTGTTATCATTTTCATGGACAATCTTCCAAACCATCCACGAATCAATTTGAGAAAATTAAATATTTTCGAGTGATCGAGGCTATATGTTGAATAATGTCCAAGTTGTGCTCGGCAAAAATCGCTGCAGAACGATATGGTCGAAATTATATGGCCATTGCTTTCGCACTAGAATTTGTTCTGTTAGGCTTCCATCTACTTACCATAATTTGCAATAGGTTTAATTCTATGTTAGTGTTGATCTAATGACATCCAACAGGCTTATTATTCTCTTCCCCTAAATTATGCGATGCTTCGGATGTAGGTTTTGTATCTTTGTCTTTTCATTTCATGTCACTCAAGCGAAGATTCATAAATTACTTAGTGGTAGAGCAATGTGCCTTGTAATTTTTTTGTTTATTCTTTAATGTCCATATCTTTATTTATGTTACGTTACTTAACGAGAGAAAAATATAAAAAAGAATATACTACCGAAGATTTCAAAACATCCATCTTGCATTATATAAACAGTTATTTTAGGAAATAAAGAAAGCTTAATTATTAAGACGAACTTGGAGACTTGGAGTTTAGTATTTCCTATCTTTAGACCATCTCCAACCCTTGGGCTAAAAGCCAAATTTTTTAGCCCGGAAAATTTAGCTTTTAGCCCAGAAACATATTTTCTGCTCCAACCCTTCTACCCTAAAATTTTAGCCCGGAATTATTAAAGAATGAAATTAGCCTAAATTTTTTTCTTAAATCAATTTTTTTTTAAAAATAAATATGTAGATTATTGTAAATTAATTTTATGAACATTTTGATCTAAAAAAATTTAAATTCCGATAAACATTTCGCATTTAGCCCGGGGGGAAAGCTGGGGGGTATTTGGCCCAGAAATAGCATTTGGCATTTAGCCTAAAATTTTAGCATGGGTTGGAGAGTGTTTGGGGGGGTAATTTGGGGGGTAATTTGGCTTTTAGCCCAGGGTTGGAGATGGTCTTAGTGGTAAAAGTAACTTTTTTCTGAAAGAATGTTCTGCAGGGAATACAAAGTAGTTAATTGGATAATGTGAGGAAGATCATCTATTAAATTATATTTTATAAATTATATAACTTAGTAGTCATTGATTGATTAGTATTGGTTAACATGTTTATATTCTATTGGTTACACACATAATTTGTAAATTTGGTCTAAAAAGTTGATCAATCGATTTAAAATTACTCTAATAAAAAGGAGAGACTAATTAGGAAAATGCGGGTAATCATATTTTATAGACCATATTTTATAGACTACATGATGTAATAGTTAATGGTTAATTTCTTTTAAAAGTTTAAAAAAGGGAAAATAACCATGAATCGCCACCTCAAATAAGCTACATATTACAATTCAAATAGATAATCTTTCTAACATCACCAGACTAATTAACATGAATCTTTAGTGGTAATTACAATTGAAAAATAAAAAAAGAGGAAGTGTTATTGACACTCTAAAAATCTCATTATACACTCTTCAAAAGTGTATTTTTCTTTCTTAATATAGAAAGTTTGAAGTGTAGACTGAAAATTTTTAAATGCTAATAACAATTCTAAAAAAAAAATTGTAAACTTTTATCAAGGCCAACTTTCCTAACTGCCCATTTAAAGAAAATTTAATGAAACTGTAACAAATGAGAGGTTTGCCAAATCAGAGAAAAATCCAAGAAAATTTAAAAACCCTAGACTGTCCTCAGCTATTTATATTTATAACACCCAAGAGCTCCTCCGGACTTCTCCGGATCAACCTGTGCTTATCTGCACAGTGTGTACTTTGTTCTTCAGAATTTAGGAAAATCCCCATGATTCTCTCAACCGACCCACCTCCTTCTACATTTCCCACTTTTTACAGCTAAAATTTGTGAGAGATGAGGCAGCTGAGTCGATCCTCAAACCATAAAACCAGACAATTAATGGAATTAGATAAACTCAGTAAGCTCAAAGAGGAGCCTCATCATCTCTCTGGTGCTTACATCCGTAGCCTAGTGAAACAACTCACCTCTTCAAGATCCACCTTGAACCCCAATAAGGACGTCGTCCTGAACTGTGACGGTATCCCAAGTCAAAACACTGTCAAGTTTGGCGATGATAATTTTAGCGAAACCCAGCAACACACCCAACAACCCCACCAGCCTCAACAACACAAAAAACAAGTGAGGAGGAGACTCCACACCAGCAGGCCCTACCAAGAGAGGCTTTTGAACATGGCTGAGGCTAGGAGAGAGATTGTCACTGCCCTCAAGTTTCATAGGGCAGCTATGAAACAAGCCACTGAACAACAGAACCAACAAGACCAACAACCTCAGGAGCAACAACCACTTGAGCCACAAATCCCTCGACCTCGCTTAGAACAAGAAGCGAGGATCAAATCGAGGAGAAACCCTCGAATCTACCTGTCAAGCGCGTCGAATTACCAGGAAACTCCTCCCTTCTCTTCTGATTTTTCTTACCAATATCCAAATCCATATCAATATTCAAATCCTTATTCTTGGACTCCTTCCACAATTGCACCTCCACCACCTTATGAAAATTTTGATTTCACACTTCCGAACCAAACCCTTGGCCTCAACCTCAACTTCCAAGATTTCAACAACATAAACACAACCCTTTACCACCACACCAAAAGCCCGTCAATTCACTCCGCCTCCACCTCATCTCCCTCGTCATCTTCTTCCCCCACTCTCTCTGCTACTACTACCGATCCTGAAATTCTGACCTCAGCTGCAGGAGCTTCTTTCACTTCCCATATTGAAGCGGAGGATGCTTCTGCGGTGGCTGATGCTGTTGACTCCGCCGGGGTTATCACAATCAGTGGCGGAGATGGCATGCATGCAGCAATGGACGACAAAGAGATGGCGGAGATCAGATCGATAGGAGAGCAGCACCAGATGGAGTGGAACGACACCATGAACTTGGTCACGTCAGCATGGTGGTTTAAATTCTTGAAGGCCATGGAGCTCGGTGGGGGCCCGCAAGTGAAGGATGAGGACGATGATGATGGATACCACCATCCGTTTGATGAAGTCATGGAATTTCCAGCCTGGTTGAACGCAAGTGAAAGCGGATTTCAGAATGATCATTTGAATGATTGCTACTCAGACGATTATTTTCAAGATCCTGCGTTGCCTTGGTAAGAACCAACAAATTATCTTGGCAAACTCAGAAACTGTTTTTTATCTTTTCATCTCCAATTTTTTAATTTATTTTTTCTTTTGAATTGAAAATATTTTGAGTGAGTGACTGCATGATTAGAATCTGTTTAGTTTTGGATTTTTCTGAAAATTAGTAATTGGATTTTTTTTTGGACCGAACCAATTGCCACAGTATTTGTTGTCATTCGTAGAGCTGGCCATTAAAATACGTGGGAGGCCAAGAGAAAGTGTTGTTGCCACAGTTTCTGTTGTCCCATCAGCGTCTCTTTTTTCATTTTTTAGTCAGCTTGATCAATTGAGAGGTTTTTTTTTCTGGCCAAAAGCTTTGTTGAGAGCTGTGTGAGTTCAATTTGACTGTAACAGTGTACAACCAGTTTCGAGACATATCAATCTCCCTATTCCTTATTTCTCCTCATCATAAAGATTATACAATCGAGTACAAAGCAACTCTCTTCGTCAGAGGATTTTAAATGCAATCAATAAGTTTGTGTTTTCTTCTTTTCTTTTACCATCTTAAGTTTGAGCAAGAGATTGTCCAAATTTTGTCATTTAGTTGTGCGAAAAACAGAGTTAAGCCTAAAGTTTATAAAAAACGAGTTCAATATTAATTAATTTATTTATCCTTAATTTAAATATTGTTGTATATAAAATGAGTTTTAACGAAAAGCCTACGGTACTGTTTACTTTAACGAAAAACCACATTTTTACACTAAAAAGTCAAACTTGATATTATTCACTTTACCCTTTATTTTGTCCTTATTATTAAAACTTAAAGTTTTCAAACAATTTTCATTAATTTTCCTTAAAAAAAATTGAGTGATAAACCCCAAGGACGCAAAATTATCAAACTTGAGCCTTAGCCCAATGGAATTTTTGTTTCTAAGTCTACATGCCCATGTCAGCTAGTCACAAACTTTTTCTATTGAGACTGCATTAGTTTGACTGAACCACAGGAATTCAATTTATTAGTTGTTACTTAATGAAAATCATATTATTGCATGGCCGTACAATCAAACAAGACAATTTGATAATTTTACTAATTTCATTTACTTGCAGCATGGACATTGGAGAAATTGAAGGTATTGATGCGGAGTGGCTAGCCTGAGCATGCACAAGGATTGATGTGTTTTTGTTAATCAAATCTTTGGCTCTCTTTTTTTGTTTATTAATTCTTTAAATACTTTCCTTTTTCTTTTTAGTTTTATTTTTTTCATCTTTGAGTATATAATAAAGGCATGCCAAAAAATATATATTAGGCAGGCCATAGGGGAAGACACTGGAGGAAGAAAGGAGTATGCCTTTTACCTCTTTTTTGGGCTTTGATATTTCCAACTTTTACACATCTTTCCTCCATTAAATCTTCGATCTTTGTAAGTTTCGGGGCCATTGCTTCATATAATATATTTTAGAAGATTTGCATGTGGTTCTCTTAGTGGATAGAATGATGGGTTTCAATCCATGCATCACGGGTTAGAAACTACCCTTAATAATAATAAAATTTAGAGGTATTCATCAATTTCTCTCCCCTACCCCCCACGAATTTGTGACTATTGGCCAATTTCCTCTCTCAACTTTAATTTTGGCCAATTTCCCCCCTCAACTCTCATAATTAGTCAATTTGCTTAATTTTTTAACTTGATCATAATTAAACAAGTGTGTGTAAGAAACTAAATAAGATGTATGTTAATCATTTTCCTATGTCTTTATCCTATTACAAATAGATTAAAATTTAGAATTTTACAATTTATCATAGATAGTATTATTAGTCATAATAAATCAGTATGGAGTAATTTTATTTGATTTTTTACTATACAAAATTGATAACGAAAAGGATTGATGTGTACATTTTTGTATGTGAATACAATTTTCTTTATAAAAGTGAAAGATAAGTTCAAGTAAATTGCGGATAATCGAGCTTAAAAAATGGTTAGTCAATTCATAATTTTCGACTCCTTATTAAGAATAACCCATTTTATTGAAATAGGTCTGATCCATGAGTTTAGAATTATTTTTTCTTCTTCTACATGCTTTAAACCCGATTCATAACTTTTTCTTATAATCAACCCATATCACATACTAATTGTATTATGTCTTTGTACATTTTACCCTATATTATGCAGGTGAGTTTATGTTAATTTTAGTATTTTGTTGGAAGTTATTAGAAAGATTGAAAGAAAAAAAAATAGATGGAAAATTTAAAAAAAAATTAACAGTAGGGTGCAAATTGACTAATTATGAGAGTTGAGGGGGGAAATTGGCCAATGGTCACAAGTTTAGGGGGGAATTGATGAATACCTCTAAAATTTAATATATATATTAGAAGATTTGGTTTTCCATGGGCTGCACTCCGTGGAGAAAAAATTGTGTGGAAATTTAGGAAAAATAGTTATGAGAGTTTGTTTTTTTGTTTTTTTGTTTTTTGTTTTCTTCAAACAAACGATATTATTTACACTCAGGGGGAGAGGTTGGGTTTAGTCTCACAATGAGTTAGCAATAATGTGGCGAGAGTTGTGTTTAGCCTCAGAATGAGCTACCAATAATGTGGTTCAAATTCACTTTTGGCGAGAATTGAACCTAAAATCTATCACTTACAAGTGAAGAGGACTACTACTAGACCCGTAGTACTAAGTGACAATAATTATGAGAGTTATAAATATACAAAATAATAAAATATTATATTCAAGATTTTCTATATGTGGTGAGTTTTGATTGGATAGTAGTGTCACTCAACAAAGTTATTCTACACAAATTTTTCTCCACTATGTGATCCACACTGATATATGAGATTTGTATATAACAATATAATAACAAAAGCATAATTTTGTTATTTTATTGATCAAGCAGCTAAACACAGCTTATGAATAATATGAAAAAGAAATGCTTAAATCAACATATGGGGCGCTTAAGAGCCTAAGAACTACGTTAATTACGTAATAAGACTTGATAGGGAGCTAATAGGCACTCCAGAACAAGCTTCGAAGCTTCGAATTCACTCTTTTTTTTTGTAGCGCAAAAGTACATGTTTGGGTTCAATAGTCAACTTCTTTGTAGTCTCGGCTGTTATAGGGGCTAAAAGCTTCTGAAAGCCAGTTACTTTTCCTCCAAGATTTCCATCCCATCTCTTCACAAATGTCGTCGCTGTGGTTGATACTGAAAGTTGAAATGCAGTGCCTCTTGTAAAATGTTCTTCATCACTTCCATCTCTCTGCCTATCTGTTCAAGCATTTTTTGGACAGTCGGAAGCTTGAATTCGTTGTCAACCAATCTGCCTAACCATTTGCATCTCAACTCTGCTGTGTGCAGGTTAGAAACACTCTCTATGAATCCCACGAATGCCATGTTGGGAATCAGTGGATGGATCGTACCCCTGAGATAACATGCATGTGCAATCATTATATATAAGGAAAACTAATGACTTGAAAATTTTGAGTTTTAATGATAAAGACAAAATAAAGGGTAAAATGAATAGTACCAAGATTGACTTTTCAGTGTAAAAATGTGATTTTTCGTTAAAATGAACAATACTGGGAGTTTTTCGTTAAAATTCCCTTATATATAAGTTAATTATATATATAGGGATATATATATGTATGTATGTATGTATGTATGTATATGTACACACTACCACTTGTTATTAATCAATAATTAGTGTCTCAATGTATTTGTGTAAACGGTATTGTCAATATCGACTGTGTTTGTGTCAGTTTGGTAATATGAAGACATAACAATACAATTTAAACTATTAGTAAATGAGTTTTGCGTCAAATTGGCAGTATGAAGACATAAAACGTCAAATATTTGACAGTAATTAGGGTTTACCTATACAAGGGCATAGTTCCAGAGGAGTCAACCATGAGACTGCGGAAGGGCTCGGGCAATATAGATTGGAGTTTCTGCTTTCCCTCATAGCCAGTTGCAAGAATCAATTCCTCCGGTTAAATTCAAAATTTGGTGACTTTTTGAACAATATTTGTTCTAAAAGTGGCAAAATAATCCAATGGTGATGGCAATAGTCCATAAAATTCCGATATGAACTAAAATTGATCCTGGGAAATAAAGTAGCCAATGCATATAAGAGTAATGAGATGACCATAAAAGAAGACAAAACTCAAAAAGCTCATGGAGCTTAAAAATAATTGTTATGTGTCCAAAAGTGTGTGCAAAATAAAGCAATTCAATGAATGATTTAATGCATTAATCTAAATGTTGTCTTATGTTATCTAAACTTTGCTCAAATTGATGCTAAAGACAGTTGCCCACCAAATGGTTGACTGTATCTGGGACTTGGATTCTCTGCCCTTCCAGTTCCTATACATTTTCATCATCTTTTATGTGTGCGGTCACGATTAAGTCACGTCAACATTTTATATCACTATTGTTTTTTATCTTATTATCTCTATAAAAAATCAATATAAAATGTTGACATAGCTTAACCGTGACCACACAAAATAAGAGAAGATGAAAGTGTATAGAAACTGGGAGGGCAAAGAAGCCGGGTCCCTATATATGTCTCCTTAAGCGGCCACTGAGATAACACAATATTGGATTTTTTTTTTTTTTGCTTCAATATTGGTCATTAATTTTGTACGGATGTGTTTACTTCTCACACACTCCTTATTAATTACTGTTATTTGATCTTCTTTAATTCAATCAATCAAACAACCGCAAATTAACAGGGTGTGTATGAAGTAAAAAAAGAGTGTGTAGATAACACACCCTATTTTGTAATGTTTTCAGAATTAATAATATGATTAGGATGTAGGATAAGATTTTAATATTTTGTATATACCTTGGTTTGCCTCTGCGCACTCAACTGCCATATCAATAGCTGACTTCTTGTAGCCAATAACTGCAACCTTCTTGCCTTTGAGGAGTTCACGAGCTGCTTGTTGGTCAAGCTTAGAGTAATCCATGGAGTGCAAGACTTTGCCCTGAAATACTTCTTGACCTTTGTTGCGCGGGAAATTTGGCATTCTTGGTATGTCTCCATATTTTCCAATGCAAACTACTATGAACTCGAATGCATACCACTGGTAGGTCCAAAATAAGGTCAGGACAATTAGTTAATAACCCACAAATATTACCAAAATTTAATAAGTAAAATTTTTACGTAATTTTTTGGTCATATTTGAGAGACGAATCTTTCCAAATGTGTTTATATTGATGATTGTATGTAAAACTTTAGATGTATATCTTATTGTATATGTGAGAGATTTGATCAGTAAATATACTTTATAGTTGTACAAGATTGATCACATATAAAATAGTAATACTTAACTATTAATATACAAGTTTATATTAATAAATTTAGAATTAGAAATGCAAAATTTATCAGAAATAACAAGAAGCATGCATTAAAATACATGTAAAACTAAATTTTCAGAAAAACTACCTGAATGGTGTTTGGATTGCTGCACATCTGAACAGCGACCTCCCAAACAGGATCACCATTCAAAAGGTTCCCATACTCCCCGGAGTTCGAATTCCCGGGAAATTGGGTGGTGGTTTGATGACCAATACCACCAACATAACGTACTTCAACCACTTTGGACTCAAACTTGACATATTTCAATAGGTCAAAGTGTGTGGCATAGCCATGCAAGTACTCCAATACCTCTACATGAGAAGGGAAAGATGAATTGTCTCTCTCAGCCCAAGGGTAGTTAGAAAACTCGAAATCGCAACGAGGGGTTTGGAGTTTGGTAGAATTGTAAGAACAGTGTCTCCAAACACCCCCAATGGAATTAGTGGCCTCAAAGACCACCGGACTGTGACCTGAAAGCTGTTTAGCGGCCGCGATTCCACTAATACCTGCCCCTATAATCCCTACTTTTGATACTGAATGAAGGTGGTGGGTGTTGGCAGCAGCCATTTCGTAAATTTGGTATAGCTGGCTAAGTAGGACAACAATAAGGTGGCTAGAGGAAACGTATGTATGAGAACTTTGTAATAGATATTAAGCATGTGTTATGGACCTGAGAAATGAGGCCTATTTATAGAGATAAACGCTGACCTTTTCCTCAACTAACCTTGTATACTAGCTAGGATCGATATTAATTATAAAATGTTGTTGGTGTAGATTCTACTTTTAGTCCATTTCAATATATGTTATTTTATATCTGTATCATCAAATCCAAGTGGGTAAAGTTTCATCTCTAGCTTTGTCTCAATTATGAATCAATGATTTTTGCTCTATGAAAAGTTCCCAATAGTTGCATATCTGAGCTAGATTAGTTGTCAAAACGGTGTAACTGTTCTCTGTATTTGAGCTTAAATTTTCTATTTATAAATTAAAATAATTTAAAATATCGTTTTTTTTTCCTTTCAAAAAAGGTACTCAGTGGTTAAACACCCACTTTTTAATTTGTGAATTTAACTAAATTCTACCACTTGAGTTAATGATTATAAGCTTGGTTTCATTTCTTAATTTGCTCGTGTAAGCTGGCATAGTAACGATGCTCCAAGACATTTAGATGACATTTGTTAGGGAGGATTGAATTGACTAAGATAATATACTATCTTAAACATATTTTGAAGGAAAAAATTGATGACAATGCACATATTTTGTCCAAGTTGAAGGTACTCAAAAGAAGAAAAGTTGTCCCTTAATATAATTCTACTATTTTTGTTGGGACTAGTAGGAATATTTTTTTTTTATGAGTAACCTTCAACTTATAAAGTATGGAAGTTGTCATCTATTTATTCTTTCAAAAATACCTCCACTATAGCGAGTAATTTTATCCAAGCTAATTCTCTCTAACAACCACTACCTTAGTGTTCGCTCACAAGCAAATAAAAATTTGATATGCTAATTTACGGTATTGTTTATAATACAAGCAATATTGGAGAATGAGGAATTATAACCACGAAAATGAAGAATTACTACACATAATCTTAAATCCATAGATACTACTCTTAACCACTTGATTTCCTATACTGTTGCCATTATTTTTCATTTCTTATTCCTTTAGAAAGAAGAAAAATCAGTTAACTAATGGGAACTAGGAGACATATAGCTAATTTTCTATGGGATTAGTTAGCATAACACTGGTTTGACTTCCTTGTGTTCCCATGGATGCAAGTTGACGATGCATGTGTGGGTGTTTGTGATCAAATTAGGTCAATGCACGTATAGCTAAGTTGAGATTTGAGTCTACTAAATTAATTGGAATTATATCTCTATCAGTGATTTTATGTTACAAGTACATGCACTGATAAGCTAATAACAAATTAAGAGTTCATATGTAATGATTAATTTTTTATTAGTACTAATTAGAAGGCCGCGTTCACTAATCATCATCAGTCTTAGTAGCGAGTAGGATAATTTGCCGCGGCTTAGACCACATGACAATGTCTAATTATCGGTATCTGCCACTACGTGTAGCACGTTGCCTGCCCCACAGATTAAAACAAACTGTCAATGCACTCAATCCTTTTAAGTAAGAGAGTTTTAACGAAACACTCCTAGTATTATTTACTTTTAACGAAAAATCATATTTTTACTTTTTTCTGATACTATTTACTACACTTTTATTTGTCTTTTTTCATTAAAACTAAGGTTTTTTTTTTTACTTTTCGTTAGTTTTCCTTTTAAATAATGGACACTTATCACTACACTATAGTTAGGTAAAGTACGTTTAAGAAAGTCATGAGTTTCAAACTAATCAACTATTAACAATCACTCATGCATGCGTAAAAAGTTGTTAAAAACACTCACTTCAAGTACGCTTTTCCTCAATTCTTCTCAAAACAAGATATTTTTTCTTTTAAGCTTTGACAAGCTCTCACTTCTGCTCAATTTTCTTTAGCTTTATACTCATTTTTATTTACATAATTTATTATTGAGGGTGTAGATTTACTATTTAGAGCTTTTCGGGGTTTTATTGGTTAATCCTTCAAATTTTAAATGTCATGTCTCAAATTTTGGTGTAAGTTAGAAATAAAAGTTTATGCTCTAAATGTGAACTTATTATACCATAAATAATCAACTATGTTAACAAATGAAATTGAGCTTAATCTTATAAATGCAAAGAGGATCAATTAAATTGGTTAGAACAATGTGCTTTTTTATATGCACCTAAGTTCAAATGCTTATTTCCTCATTTTAGATCGATTTGTGTAAAATATATTGTTGTTTGTAAAAAAAGTTAAAACCACCTAATGCATGGTATAGACCATCAATCAGACAACATATAGATAAATATCGAACAAAAAAAACTCATCACATGATAACTCTTTCTTATTCGTAAACTCAGTCTAAACAAGGTAAGAAAATTGGTGATCTTCTAGTCTTCTAGTACTCTCTTAAAATTTACATGTTTTTCTTACTTACCCAAATGATTGAATTTTCTAATATGAATGCAATTAACCTGGATTCTCAACAACCATATATATGGTCCTGTCCAGTACAAATGCGACTGTGCGGTCAAGATTCAAGAACTTGAAAATACATTTTCTTCTTTTTTTTTTTCTTGAGATAAAATATAACCCGCTAGTAATCAAGTACTTGACTTTGGAATCTGTATAATAATTTGCATAAAACTATATGTAGAATTTGGTAATTCTCATCACATATTCTGGTTTGATCTGATGGCCCTATGGGTTACGTGACTGAGTTGATCATGCAATTTTAATTTTAATCAATACTAAAGTCAGAGAAATAACGTGTTTTTATTTATAATATAGACCTTAAACCACTTGCTAATTAAACTTCCGGGATCCCTTCCTCAGTTTAATTTTCAAAACAAGGGACCTTTGGTCTTTGTTAACAATTTTCAAATATTCAAGTCCAAGAATGTGCATGAAACACGACGAGTAGTCACCAGAGGATGTCTTGGGTCAACCACAATATTCAAAAGATATTATTTTCCAGTTTGTTAGAAAAAGAAGAAGAGAGAAATTGTTTATTAATGTCATCTTGTGCATGCGGCGTGCCAACTCACGACTGAGCTCGGTTGGGCAAGTAGAATAGATGTGGTGGTGTGGTGTCGAACACGTTGCTGACTTCTGCATTTGAGCGACTATGCCTAAGGAAGGAACATCTCCCAACCTAGAATCTAGAACATGAAGACAATGTTACTTAATTCACTTCGAAGTTCAAAATCTCTGGCACCAGGTTCGGCAACTTCAAGTATTTGTAAGAATATAAGTGTGCCGAATCGGTATCAAGTTGTATGAGCAAAGATGCTCAAATGATATGAGTGTCTTTATGGTGAATATGGTTCGATCGTCTGAATGCCGAATTTTGTATTGTACTTGCGAGTAATCGATCATAGAACACCTCACTTCACTGAGGAAGTTAATAAAGTGACCTCTTTCGGCGAAGGAATCAAACACTATTTGCAGGCTGAGACTTGGATAGATAACCAACCGAACTAGTAGTGTTGTATAACCCAACTCAAGATACTCCAAGATCGACGACTCTAGTAATGTTCCAACGAACTAAATGTGTTGCCGGTTTGCCAACCCAATGATGTTCAACCAAACAGAATATGTGTTGACGGAGGGGTTTAGATAATTAATGTGTTTCTCAGGGTTGTGAGAAGGTTTCGCGTAGAGAATTTTGAGTTGTTGGTTGAGTTAAAGGGGCCTCTACTTTCAAAACCTTATATTTATAGGGGTAGATTTTGTGATGGCCAAGTATGTTGAGTTATAAAGTTCTGTAATATTTCAATTCCTCGACATATTCTCTAAATAAAATCGGAATTATTCTTGGTTAAAACTCTATCACGGTCAAGTCTCGTCGTCCTCGAATTTCGAATCTAGATTGATTATGTGATTGATGCAACTTTTCCTCAAAAACCAATCATGATCTTTAATATTTCTCTCATATAACAGCTTAAAATATATGGACCAAATGTGTGCAAAATCAGATCCAAACAGTAGGCCCTAGTTGGGTATCAATGATAAGTTGGGGGTTTAACTGCGAACTGATCAACAAAAAAATTGGTCTTACTACTAAACCAAAACCCCCCGCCCCACCAACCCAACAAGCTAAGGGCCTAGAACTAATTAATAGTGATTTTTTGGCTAGAAAGCGTCCCAACTCTAGAACCAATCGGTTTAGGAAGCAGTGACGTACATCCTTGTAAAGTCTTGCAAGGTTTCTTGTAACTTCTAATGCGAAACAATTCCTCGCATCTTCACAGCTAGTAAAAGTTAAAACCCCCCTTTTTTTACGTCTTTCTTTTAACAATTATTATTACATTTTAATAGATGATTAGCCTTGAGTTTGGTCAGTGGTTTTCAACTTTTGACTTCCTCTTTACAAGTTTTCTACTTATCTTTTAGTACCCAAAAAAATATATCATGTTCGTTTTATAAACTTATTTGAACTACTGAAAAAGTACATTAATCTCACTAACACGGAGTTTAACTAATGACAAGCTTTGAGAATTAACGTGGCCAATCATGTTCATTAAAAAAATGGGAGTTGAAACATTTGAAATAACCTTAAAATGTCCAAAATAATCTTGAAGGGAATCGGAATGGGGAATTGAAATGTCCGAAATAACCTTGAAAAAATAAGTCATGTGCCTTGTACATGACTTATTTTGGATAGAAAACTTAAGGGAGGTGAGATGACAAATTAATAATTTTCAAAACTTGATATGACAAATCGCTAAATTTTTTGATTTAAATGACAAATTAAAAAGAGAGTACAAGTTCATATGACATTTCAAAAAAATTTCCTATCGATTTCATCACCATAGTTGATTCCATTTGCATATAAAAACCAAATTGCCCAACTACTATGGGAGGCATCAGGCCATCTCTAACGGACCCAGCCAAAGGACCATAGGGCTAAAAATAGCTTGGAATGACACGAAAACTGTCTCCAACCGAGAGTTAGGCCAAAGGGCTTATGGCCCCACCAGGTTAAAACCCCAAAATCAAGCCAGCAGGCTGGCCATTTCCAGCCAGACAGCCCTCAAGCGTCAGAATGTCAAGCTTGACATTTTGCCATCTCTCTAGCTCAGCCCATTTGAATGCCAATTGCTACCTATTGTCAGCATGACGCCAGCTAGCAATGGCTAGCTGATGTCATGCTATCGTCAGGTTACCGTTGGAATTTGATTTTTTTTTTTTTTTTTTGGAATAATTTAAAAAAAAAGTTCTAATTTTTTTCCTATAAATACCTAAGTCATTTGTACACCATTTCTCACATATTTTTCACCATTCTATATTATCTTACCTCATTTTATTTCAATTCTTCACATTCTATTCTCTTACCTCTTCCAATAATCTTTCTTTTAATTTTTTCAATAATTTTCAAATGGCCAAATCTGTAATGAAAGGAAGGGCTTGGACTTGAAAAGAAGATGAAGCTCTTTGTAGGGCTTATAGATGGGTCTCGGAAGATAGTGTCAAGGGTAATTCTCAAACAAGTGAAGGTATTTGAACTCGTACGTCCAAAAAGTACTATGAGTTCTACGAAGGCACCACTCCACCGAATCCTCAGAACCACGAAAGTTGTTCTTCAAGATGGAAAACAACACAATCTCCACCCTAGTACTACGTGGGGGAGTTATTCAAACTTAAACAACATTAAACAAAATATTTAACAACATAAAACTTAAACGCCTACTCCATTGCTCTTTTGGCCCAAAGATGTGGAACAAGATCCTGTTGTAGGTACTTGTTTGTGGCATGCGAACGTATCATCCTATGACGCCTCATGTGCTCATTTAAAGAGATATTACCAGTTCTTGGATCCAAATATAAATTAGGCCCATCATATATTTTCACATCAGATGGGGAGGCATAGGCCAACATTCGAAGTACAATAGTAACCTTTTAATGAGGTGAAAAACCATGGCGGCCTACTCTATCCATCTTCTATCGAAAGTATGGATTGACATGTTAGACATCATGAAGTAAACGCTCGAAGACATGAAGCCCCATCCAGAAATGACATCTGAAATCCTCTTCTGTATACATCGAGTTGGAGTTGAAGTAGTTGTTCATCAGAGTCTCATGCGCGATCTCTCTATTTCGTGGTTTGTAAGAGTGACCACCAACAGAGCCACCCCATTGAGGTTGTTCTTCAGTTTCCTCACACGCCATGACCCCAGGCATTGCTACCATATATGTTGTGTTGTGCCATGCTTCATCTTCTTCATTGGACTCCTCATCTTCTCGTCTCATATGCGCCCATTTATCTTTTCCAGAAAATTATTAAGATTACATAAAGATAAGAAATCTGGAGAGTTACTCATTTTAGCGACATATGTCACTCGAAATCCTATCCGAAAAATTATTAAGATTACATAAAGATAAGAAATATGGAGATTTACTCACGTTAGCAATACACGTCACTCGAAATCCTAACCAAAAAATTATTGAAATTATATAAAAATAAGAAATCTGGAGGCTTATTTATTTGGCGACAAGTGGCACTCAAAATATATCCAAAAACCTTATTTTAATATAGTAGTTTAATTTAATTAATCATATTAATTCAATTTAAATAATAAATTATGTTTGATCTATGACCTTTTGGCCCCCTCAGTTTTAGATAATTTTTTGTCAAATGGCTATGTTTGGCCTATAGCCCTTTGGCACCCTCGGTTTGAGATGGTATAAAATATAGCATGGCTATTCATTAAAATATAATTTCTTGCATAGCTATAGGGCTAAAGGGAGCCATTTGACCCTCATTCAGTTGGAGATAGCCTCAGTGCATGATTTCTTATAGTGGTGAGGCAGTCTAATGTAAGGTCAAGCTTGGACCGGTCTGGATAGGGTTAAATTATAGCCCAACAGACCTGTAAACCTTGAGCCTTTTCTGTAAAGTGAACTCTCAGCCAACATTATGATCACATTTAGGAGGGCATCATTTTTTGTATTACATTGCTGCACCAATTATTAAGCTTGAGCTGGGAAACCTTATGAATCACATCATCACTAAGCAGCTTGATGTCGTCAAGTTTCTGGTTCAGAATCGTCACAATGGTCCGATCAAGATCTCTCAGCGCAGCTTGGCACATATTATCGAACCTTCCAAAGTGATTCACCATATTCTTCAAAGAATTAGCATCTGTTGTAATGGATGTGTTTATTAAGATGTCGCAGCCTCTTAAGCCCGTACGCTTCGCTTGTCACTTATGTCGTTGGTCAAGCCCACAACACAACCAACTAGCACTGGCGTGTTAATGTCAATGGTTTGTAGAGTCTTGAGCCGGGGGATGGTGTTGACGAATTTCCGGGTGTTGGTAATTTCGTTGACAGTTAATTTATGGCGTGTCGAGCTTCCAGCCTCAATGCCTCGCTCTCGGGGTCCTTATAGTTTGAACCTACGCACCAACTACAAAAATGGTGCTTAGAATCAAGGTGATGAGCCAAGTTTTAGTTGCCATTGTACCGTTTTAAGTGGTGGATTAGGGTTTCTGATGGGAGTGTTGGAATAGGCCAGGCCTTAAAACTTTCATTTTATACGTATCTGGGAGGTCTTAGGTTGAATAGGTGCTTTTGGCATGGCCTAAGCTTGTTGAGTATGGGAACTAATAACATAGCTGGTCACAAGTTTTGCAACAAGTGCGTGGCCTAAATTTATGCTAACAAAAAGTTAGAGGCTCATAATATGATTTCGTGCCAAAAACAAAGTCCATTACAGTTTATCGTTGAGGCCTTGTTTGGTGGCTAGGATAAGTAGTAGGATCAGATTAGTTTAATCCAATCCAGTGTTTGGTAGTTAATTGTGAAGAGGGCCGTATTAGAATCGTTAGCCATAATTTTATTATTTGGGTATCTTTACTTGCCTAGAATAGGAATTGGGATAACTTACTTGTAATCAGATATCTTAAGATGAGAAATCATATCAACTGAAAAGCTCGTTAATCCGATTCTCTTTTCTTCATCTATTTCTATGTTCTTCGATTCCTTCATTCTCCCATATCCATAAGAAATGCAGAAGTGCTAGTGCAAGCCTATAAACATTCAAATACTTTCAAATTAAGTACTTTACACATATTAAGAACCCCCGCTTGCCAATATCCTAATTAATTTCGGTATTTAAAAAAAAAAAGGTAACTTGAAAAACAAAAGCAAATTAAACGAAGAGGGAGATTTATAAGATTCACTCCAGCTTTTTCACCAGATAAATACAATAATACATGGCCTCCTCTCCAGCCTTCATCTCCAAGCTTAGCTTAGAGATTCACTGGGTATCGTTCAATGCAGTCAAGCCATGGGTTCCTCGAGGGCTTCCTAACGCGGCGCATTGACCTCCAAACAATGCTGTTGCATTTGAATCCAGAACCAAATGACAACTGCCAAACCCTATCTCCTCTCTTCACCTTCTCTTTTGCTTCCAAATAAGCCAACTCATACCATATGCTGCTGCTCGACGTGTTTCCAAAGCGGTGTAGCGTCATCCTAGAGGCCTCCATGTTTTCCTCACTCAGCTCGAGGTTCCTCTGCAGCTCGTCGAGCACGGTCTTGCTCGCTGCATGCACGCAAAAGCCCTCGAAAGCCAGCTTGAAGTCCGGAATGTAGGGTCTCTTGCGTGACGCTAAAGACAACACTGAAGTGCCTCCGCCGGAAAACAAGTGCCTCGAAACCAATGTGGCAAAGAAGAGGAGCTGCTCTGAGAACGGCAGCACCAAAGGTCCCAATGTGGTGATGTTGGTTTTCAAGGCTTCACCACCAATTTCAATTAGGTCTTTGCTGATCTTCAGCCCCTTCAATCCTTTTTCGTCTTCCTCTTGGTACACACACCTGTTGCATCACATGTTATAGTTAGGTCAAAACCTAAAAAAGTTAATTTACACTTCACCTATCTAATCAAATAACTTAAGGTGAATATACGTAACTTTTAGTGCGGAATAACAATTTGCTGACGTTTTTTAACAGAGTCGAAATCAACCAATACAATATTTACCATATATCGACCAAATTCCTAAGATAAGTCAAGTACTGTAAATTGGTATCTGATACCATGTAATCTTTCCTAGTATGTCCAAAAGCAGAGTCCGAACCTTACTCTTTTTGTTTTGTCTCCTTCGTACCCAAAAAATAATTACTGGATTAAACCAAAATATTATCTGTCATAGGCCAAGTTCAAGCGCACCAATTAACGCTAATGCTAACTTTTGCGACATGCAGCTCCAAATCTCTAATTCTCTATATTTTAGGATGAAGATTAATTAGTTTATGGGACTTGGGTCCCAAATTTAATTAAAAGCTTCCATTTCTCAAACAACAAATGGAAAATCCTGTACAATTAAAATGTATTATGACTTGTAAGTAAACATATTTCCAACAGTAAAAGCATAATAATCAGCAAGCAAGAGAAAGAAATTTGACAAACCTGAAACTCCGATCATCAGCGCCTTTATGTGTCCGGACAACGTGTTCAAGCCGGTACTTAGCACGGTGATAATCGCGGCGGCGATTGGAGAGCAACACAGCGGAGCATCCCATGCGGAAAAAGCAATTCGCAACGAGCATAGACCTGTCACTACCAGGGTACCAATTATACCCCACACACTCAGTACTCACCACAACAGCATAGTTATTAGGGTTGGCTTGAAGAATGTCTCTAGCCAGATCAACGGCTATGATCCCTGCACTGCATCCCATTCCACCCAAATTGTAGCTCAAAATGTTGCCTCTCATTTTGTAGTGATTTATGATCATTGCAGACAAAGAGGGTGTGGGGTTGAAGATGCTACAATTTACTACTAGGACTCCTACGTCCTTCGGACGGACCCTAGTCTTTTCAAAGAGCTCGTCGAGGGCCCCAAACATGACCATTGAGGCCTCAGCTCGGCCTTCTTTCATGGTTGCCGTGTTTTCAGTCGACATGATGACCGATTTTGGGATGTAGGTCTCGTCTCCTAAGCCTGATGAGTTTAGAATTCTCTTCTGGAATTCTAGGCTCGCCTCGTTGAATTTGCCTGATTTTCTTGCTACCTCTATGAATTGCTCCTTAGAGGCCTAATTAACATCACAAAGTAACATGAACTCATAAATTACTTTCATTTCCAGTAATAAATAAATTACGTTCCCCTTAATTGCAATTAATTATTTTAATTTGAGATTAATTTCCAAATTACAAATGATAAGGATATAAAAAAAGGCCATATACCCCATGAATTTTTTTTCCCAATCCATAAAGGAAAAACTAAGCTAAATGTGAAGGCGGGTCAAATATTTCTGAAAGTCATTCGGTCTAGCAAAATTTAGTAATTTACTTTGGTAATTAGAAGTTTAAAGTTCAAATCTCGTGAACATGTCGAATGAAGAAAAATCGAATCCAAAATGTTATCCCATATCACAAATTAAACAAGTTAAACCAACAAATATAAGATCGACAAGAAAAAAAAACAAGTATAAGAGTGTTGTAATTAATGATTATAACTTTTCACCATATGTGGATAACGATTGCAAATATAAGATCGACAAGAAAAAAACAAGATTAGATGTTGAAATTAAGTTGTCAAAGTCGTATATTAACACACATATATGGATAAAGATTGCAAATAAGTCATTGAAAAAGTCACCAAAATTAATCCATTAATTAAAGTTAAACCCACCTTCAGATCGTCATTAGGCTGAAAACAAGCGAAATCAACGAGGTAGATGGATCGAGGGCGTGACATGAAGTAAACTGACAAAGTGAAAACAAATACACCAAAGAACCCTAGCACAGTAGCTAGGTCATAACGTCCATCATCCCAAAGCTTCTTCCACAGCTCCTCCCTGCTCAAACTTCCCACCTCAGCACTGAACACCAGCACAAGCACAGGGATTGTTGCTAAATATATGGCATGGTTGATGAGGTGGTGGTACCCCAACTTCACATACTTTAGATTTACGGACTGTAAAAAGTCCGGCAGCCGCCTTTGCACCCTCACTGAGAATGTGAGGGAGCCGGCATTGGGGCCGGACGACTCAACCCCACGGTTGACAATCTCCGTGGACAGAAGATCTTGCTCGCTGGCCATGGTGGATGGGATTGGCATGGACTGGATTGGAGATGAAAGGGGTGTTGATATATATGAGCATGAAAGGCGGTGGGTGGAAAAGAGTTAATGCAAACACCAACCAGAACCAACTTGAACAAGGATTAGTTGGGGGGCTTTTAAGAGCTATAATTCCTTTTTATGTTTACAGTAATGGAATGGAATTTGTGGGGTGTTCAATTCCAAGTCTTTTTCTTCTTGGTTTTCTCTACTTTAAAAAAAAAAAAAATTCTTCTGAAAATGGAAAATTAATTGGTTCTGGTTATGGATGAGTGGGAGTGTCACACACTTTGTTGGGTTTCTTGTGAATATTAAATATGAGTCGAGAGCAAAGGAAATTTAAAGGAGGTAGTTGGAGGGAAAGGGGGCATTTGCCCTTCAAGGCCATTAGCTGGCTTCACCAAAGGAGAGGCTTACTATTTTGTTCATCATGAGAAATTATTCGGTGCCCTTGAAACACAAGGTGGTACTCTACACGTTATTATATATGTGGAGGAAGTTTTATTTTTCAAGTGTTTCATCACTTGTATAATAACATGAAGTGTACCATCCTGTATTCCGAACACATTAAAAAATCTCTCCACCTACCATTATCATCACCATTTAATTATATTTACCTAGGTTAAATCATCGTACAAGAAGTAAATGGAATGCTTTATTAGTGGAGTCCCTTTATAACTGTTAATATCAGTAAAAACATTATAGAAAGCGACCGTTTATTTTTCACCGGTTAATGTTGAGGGTAAATGTAATAAGTCTAATAACAGTCAAGTATTGAGAATTGAATCTTCGAAATGCAGGTTTAAGAGGCTTATTCGTGAAGAATTTAATTACAAGACTCGGAAAAAAAAAAAGAGGAATATTGATAAAGTTTGTTGAAGATGCTCATTCGTTTGGATAACTCACTTTAATTGTTCTTCCTTCAAATGGGGCAACGATAATAGTATGGTGTGGATCAAAATTCTTTGGTGCTACGTCTCGGTCTTTCTTTAATATTTGGTCATCAGTGAGGAAAGTCAGCTGGTCATTTCGTACATTAACAAAGTTCTATCTTAAAAATACTTTATCGTTATCGTCATATTAACCCTTGATGTTTATTAATTTGTCTGTTACAATATAGACTTGCGACAAATTTATATTTACGAGAAATTTTTTAATATGATATTACAAATCTATTCATGTTATAAACTTATAAAAAGGTGGGTTTTTTTTTAACACAAAAAAGTGGTTTATTTACTAAGGATTTTTTTAGCCAAAATGATTCATGAACATAACTCATCAGTTTGGTCTCTGGGATTTGAAAGTGATAGAATTGGTTCATGAGTTTGTTCACGATCAATCATTTTGGTTATTCTATGAAAAATCTCTGTTAAATAAGACCAAATGATGAAAATACTCTTAATTTAATAAACAATGAGCCAAAATGATGAGAAAAATTGAGGGTATTTTTTTCATTATATCCTTATTTAACGAAGATTTTTCATGAAATGATCAAAATGATTGACAGTAAACAAACTCAAGAACTAGTTATATCGATTTTAAATCTCAATCACAAAAATGAAGAGTTATATCAATTTCAACGATCATTTTTATTAAAAAGTCATTTACTAATTAATACATAACCAATCAAATATGTCATTCATCCACGTTACAACATTTGAATTAATCATATCACATGATGATGTGGTTGTCACATCACACAAATTTCTCATATTTTATGTAGTATTAAAAAATAAGATATATTATACTTCGAGTTAACTGTAACATCACGATCATATATAGTTGTGTGACAATAACAACGAAGGCTTGATCATGACTTGTCTTGAATACTAGAACTAATACCAACCCCCTTGCAAGCTTCCCAGTTGTCAGCCTTTCTTTATTACGCATGGGACTTTTGCACCGCCAGAAGTTCCATTATTACAACCCTAATACAAATTGCATTGTTCCATATTTGAGTTGTGTAAAGCTGGAATGCTCGCTGTACGGCACCTCATACAGACAGTTCAAGGCAATATATCCACTGATTAGTCACGTGCTTTTGTTAGATAGTCACGTGACTGTACTGTATAAGTAAGTCATCATCACATTAGAAAAATAGAGATTCAGATCCTCTCCGGATCTCACACTACGGAGCCAGCAGACTAGCAATCTGAACCGTTCAATTTAAGTTTTGCGGTCTTCATTAGCCTATTTTACTAGCCCACTTGACACAATTTCTCTCTCAAACACCTAAATATCTCTCTTGAACGGTTCAGATTGGTAGATTCATGGGCTTTAAAGTGTGAGTTACAGAGAGGATTTCATGTTTTACCTTTCTTTGGATAACAATTCATGTTTTACTTGAAAAGGCTAAATTCACATGCAATAGCTGCAAGCCTACAATGTGTTTTGAGTCTTTGACAACATAAAAATTCTTACGGTAGGGTTTACTAAAACCACACCATGATTCTACTGGGAAAATGCTTACAACTTTACTACACGATGTTCAGGAGTGGCTCCCACACCCTGCACTTCCGCTTGCACTCCTCCCCTTTTGTTTTACGCTTTAGACATTAAAGGAGAAATAATAGACAAGGGAAGGAGTGCAAAAGAGAAACCGGGAACGTGAAAATCACTATCCTATAATGTTTGATATAGTAAAAACATTTCATCCAAGGCAATGTAGTATTGTAGCAGAGTAGGAAAGGCATCAGAAGATTAGACGAGCAACTACTCATAGTCATCAGGGTCAAGTCATCCAACTACTCATATTGATTAGAGAGAATATAGCTTCGATAGATAGAAACCTCTTCATCCAGTCACTCATACTAGCCGCAATTTCTCAGAGGAAAATAAGTACAATAAGGAAATGAAATTAAAACTTCACAAAAAAAGTACATGCTCGTTTAGAAGTTTAAAAAGGAATGAAAACACTTTTGGTGGAATTGATTTTGAAATCCAAAAATATTTTAATTGTGTTTTGAAAAAAGTATCAGATATATGCTTTTTGCAAAAAACACTTCAAGTGCTTTTTCAGGATCCACTTGAATTTTTACTAAAGATTGGTTTCAAAGTTATTTTCACCAAAAGTATTTTCAATTTCAGTCATTTTAAGAGTACTTCCAAACGACATGAACCAAAGATACTCATGCAATTTTGCCAACATATGAAGACATTCATCAACTTCTGTTAGTTTCTCATACGAAATGCATCCAAATTTACCGTTTCAAGTGTCATAAACATTACCACTTTCTACAAGAAAATAACAAAAGTTGACATTCTCGAATTGAAATCATTTGTAAACTAAAGGGACTATATTCAATGCAATGCAAATACAAGGATAAAAGCGGAAGAAAACTACACGAACTAAAACAGTGTTTCATTTTTGGGTCAAAAGCTATAATTGGGCCTAACACCAAAGCCCAATTTAATTTTGGCCCAAACCGAAATAAAGTCCAAGTTTATTTTGGGCCGAATGGCGGGTCTAACCGTCAACTAGATTCCTCTGGTTTTCCTCCGTAAATTTCTGTCACCTTCTTCGTCTGTTTGCTGACTCTCTCACCCACTCACACTTCCCACTCTCTCTCTCACTCTCTCCGATCCTCATTACCTTCACCTCCCCCGATCACCGTCGTCTTCTTACAATGCCCGGTGACGAAAAATGGTGCGTGGTCACCGGAGGTCGAGGCTTCGCGGCGCGCCACTTGGTCCAGATGCTGATCCGATACGACGTGTTCCGGGTCCGAATCGCCGACCTGGGCTCCACCGTCGATCTAGAACCTTCCGAGGAGAACGGCATTCTCGCCGAAGCTCTGAGCTCCGGCCGCGCCCAGTACGTGTCCCTCGACCTTCGCAGCAAGAGCCAAGTTCTTCAAGGTCAGCTTTCTTTCTCGTCCAATATCTTGAGATTGCATCAATGGCGGCTGATTTGTTATAGCGTGATATGATTTGTGCGTTTTGCTTTCAATCTGCAGTGTTTCAAGGTGCGGAGGTTGTGTTTCACATGGCGGCTCCCAATTCGTCCATCAACAATTACAAGCTCCACCACTCGGTCAATGTAGAAGGTACACAATCACAATGGTGAATTTTACGTCTTGTTGTTACCAAATTTGGTTTAGGTCGATAAATACTTTCGTAATTCGGGTTTAGTCGATAGATTTGATCGATACTTGGAGTGTGTTTTTGGGGTTTTATGCAAATTTTTAGTTTTATTCAAACTATGCTTTGATCTTGTTCAGGAACACAGAACGTGATTGATGCTTGTACTGAGCTGAAAGTAAAGAGACTAATCTATACTAGCTCCCCGAGTGTTGTTTTCGATGGGATTCATGGGATTGTTGACGGGGATGAGTCGTTGCCATATCCACCTAAGGTACTAGTATTTGCTAATGAATTTCCTGTGATGTAAGAAACACATTGTTTCACTACGATTTTGAGAATGGGTTGTGTTTTGTAACTTGTTTCAGCACAATGATTTCTATTCGGCAACGAAAGCTCAGGGAGAAGAATTGGTGATCAAGGCAAATGGTGTTAAGGGGCTTCTCACATGTTGCATTCGCCCTAGCAGCATTTTTGGACCTGGTGATAGGTTGCTCGTTCCGTCTTTGGTAGTTGCTGCCAGGGCAGGGAAATCCAAGGTAAGTAAGATGGCGGTCTTGTTACTTTAGTCTTGCATCTCCCTTACACCATTATCAGTTAACACCTTCTTTCATGATAACACCTTCTTTCACGATATCTGATGTTCATTGTTTTCTCCTTTTATCTCAATTGAACAGTACATCATTGGTGATGGCAACAACATATATGATTTCACATATGTTGAAAATGTGGCACATGCGCATATATGTGCAGAGCGAGCTCTTGCATCAGAGGGGACAGTTGCAGATAAAGCAGCGGGGCAGGTACCATTATATTATTAAGTTTTTTGACACCTGGGATGAATATAAGAGAGGGTGAGCGGCTGTTAAGAATTGTAGATGATGAAATAAAGAGAGTTTTTAATTACTCAACTGCAATGATTTATTTACTACCATAA